ATTTGATTTGATTTGATTTGATTTGATTTGATTTGATTTATGCACCACCCATCTGGCAGTCAGGGCCAATCTGGGCGGTTTACAGCAAGGAATGTACACCACACGCATAACAGGATGGCTCTGGAGTCCATGCAAAATGGTAGCTTCTCACTTCCAATCAAAATTTAGAATATTTTGTTGCTTTAAAACCAGTTTTCAGTTTACCCTATTAACTTAACAGTGTTAAAAACAAGCATTAATGAAAGGCAACTCAGTTATGATAAGACTGCAGGTTGAAGGTATAAGGACTAAATTAGACTCCTATGAAAGTTCCACTGAAACAAGTGATTGTTGTGCTTCATTGCCTATCAAGTAGTTTAACCATTGTGACTGAATGCTATTCTGAATGTATTTACATTCCTCATACCTTACTCTTAAGATTCCAGAAACAGGTAATCTTTTTCCTATGTCTTTTATTACCACAACTCTTTATAGTGCCAAGACTAATGTAGTCTTAGTGCTGAAGAACCTGTATCTTTCAAGAGAGAAGGCAATTACCACGGTACCATAGCCACTTCAGTGAGATCAAACTGCTATACACATGTTGAACAATAACTGAAGAATGTAAAATAGGTACAAATATCATTTTTCCTGAACTTTTAAACATTTTCATTTTTTGCAAATATTCCCACTAGACAAACCTGTTTTTCAGTTTTACATAGTGGAAAATACAAGCAAGTATATTTATTTATTTATTTATTTATAGTTTTACATAATCAGTGGAAAATACAAGCAAGTATATATTGCATATGTTTTGACATGTACATTGACACCGAGCACAAAATCATGCTGAGGGAAAAAATTTTAGTGGGGACCTGTGTAGGATTTACATTACCTGGCCTTGTTACCCCCAAGGCAAAGAAAACACAGCTAGTTTCAGTTCACATGTGTTGTCGTAATGCAGGTGTGGTTTTTTTGCATGCATGGTTGTGCAAAAATATAGCATGATTCTGCAACAAGTTAAGCATTTTCAAATCCTTGTCATTTCTGTGAATGAGTCAAATATTTAAGTATCCCACAAAAATCAGTGAAACTTAAAAGAGTATTTTACTTTTCACTACATTACCCCAGTCCTCATCTATACAGTATTATTGTAGCTTGACTTTGTAATTCATTCAGAATTATATATAAATTGAACGTGCCCTTTCATCACACTTCCTTCAGCCTTCACAATTCCATTAGACTTTAGAAGAAATGAGTGTTAATGGGCTATTTTGAGAACTTAAGAAACAAACAGGAGCTAGGGAAGAAATACAGCAAAATGGTAGCATGTTGTGCTTTTCATGGTCACAGTTCCTAATTCAATCCCTAGGATCTCAAACTAGAGCTGGGAGAGATCCGTGTAAAAAACTGTTGCTGCCCATCAGTATTAAGAATGGTGTTTAAATTGCACCAATGTTTTGACCTGGTATAAGACAATTTCATATATTCTTAGGCACAGACCCGAAAAAATCTGCCTACACTGTGGAACAAGATATGAACAAGGATTACACAGTGGAGAGTCATGCCTTTAAATGTATTTATATAACAAATGCAAAATGGTGGCAAATTTAACAAATTGTTAGCTCAAGAACCAACTATACAGGAGCACAGCAAACTGAAATAACCACCCCTCCCCCCCAGAGATCCAGACCTAAAACTGCATTTTATTCTAGTCTATGGAGAATTTTTTTAAAATTCTGTTCTCATATGGAGCAAGTGTGTTATGTGTTGTGCTATAATGAATGATCAACTCCTTTAGCAAATGATTTATTGTAGTGAAGCACAGGCAGGCAATTAAGCTTTTTTGAGAATGATGAATATTAATACTGATTTACTTCTACACATGCTCTCTATGGGATCTGCCCTCTACCAGAAGGGTTTGTTTTCGGTAGGTACTTCTGCCCAGTTTGGAGAGATCCTTCTCTTCCATTATAGCTGAACCTATTTAGCAGGGTTTCCTGATTCTCTGCACAGCATTTTCAGGGGGATGAAGATTGGCACAAAGTGGGCAGAGAAGTCTGCTTTCATCAGCATGATCATGTGTACCTAAATTTGGATGCAACTTCTTGTTTTAAAACTACAAATCCTAGCCTGCAAAGCCAAGAAGAAGCTGAGAGGCATGTGTGCAGCAAGACTCAATCAACAAGTCAGCATGATGACGAATATGTTCTACCCTTTAGCTGGAATGTATTTCTCTGTTCCACCTTTCCTCCAGAGATCAACTAAAAATGGCATATCCCCAGATAAATCAAATTAAGAAGAGCCATGCTAGGATTCACTAGTCTGAGAAGGACAGTGGATTTATAAAAGCTTGAACTGGATGGTGTAGGGCAGTGGTCCCCACCTTTTCCCAACTGCGGACCAGTTTGCGGGGGTGTCACGCTCTCGCAGGGGGCATGTCACTTTCGCAGGGGGCATGTTGCGCTCACAGGGGGCATGGAGCGCTCACAGGCATGCACAGGGCATGCTCGGGGGGCAGGAGATCTGTGTCCTGCCTAGGCTGGGGACTGCTGCTGGGTTGCAGACCAGGGGTTGGGGATCCATGGTGTAGGGGCTTAATACATGTTCATACCACACTCACAACATTCCAGTTAGGTGTTCACACAATACAATTGCACATGTGTAGCAATTTTATCCAAGTTATTTGTTCCTGAAACTTTTGTTTACCTATTTTCCACCGCAATCCTTTCAATGGATAAACCAGAATATACAATTGTGTGTCACGAGATAATTTAAAGACTTGCAAATACAAAGGGCTCTTCCACTTTATCACTTTTTATAGACTTTTCTGAAGCACCCCATGAGCAAATCCTACTTCACCACCCCCTCCATAGCTAGCTGTTGTTAGCACCTAAGTCATACTAATGATAAATATCCACCTGCATACAGATGACACTTGCTTTGCACATTCTGGATCAAGCATAAATTATAAGCAGTTTCCCATGAAAAGTGCAATAAAAATATGACACTTTCTGGAGGATTTAAGTATATAATTTCAGCTGAACACAGGTAACATCTTTTGGCTGAAAATACAGTATTCTGATGTAACAGAATCACACTAATTTTTGTGTCCCAGTCTCCAAGGGCATTAAATTAGTTACTGCACATTAGTTTGCACCCATGTCCCTTTTAAATGATTTTTGAATTGGTTAGCTTGAATTTTAATCTGGTTTTGCCATATGCTAGCCTAAATGAAATCTCAAGGTTTCTGGTCAAGACTCAATCTTAAGACTCTGGCCTCTACTTGCAATCCACAGCAGTTCACCATTGCATAAGGAAGGTTTAGGAAGCTACATGGGAAGAAGACTACATAATTCTTCCACTTAGAACACTGCACTTAAAACCTGGGAATAGTACTCAAAAGATACACTCAGTTTAGTGTAAACACATTTTAATGACTTGTTACAGAGCACTATCTAGGGTGGTCCAATATAATCTTTTTTTAAAAAGAAAAGAAAAAGCACACCACTGGGCATGCTGTCTCTACTTTCTTGGGTTTGGCGCACTATATATTTTTTAAAAAATCAAGATTTGCTCATAAAAGCAAAAGTGACATATACTGCAAAAACAGAGATCAATAACATTACATCCAGACTGCCTCCAAAATACAGGCCCCTAAAGCACATGGGTTTCCTGTGAAGGAATAGCTTCCTTCCTTCATATGAACAAGATCACAGACTGTATGCATGGGGGCGGGTAGGGGGCCATACTATGCCCTCACCAGGCATTCTGTGCAATAACTTTGTTAACGGAGAAGAAAGATCATGAACAAAGCATCTTGGACTCTGTAACTATGAAGCTGTTTTGAAACATGACATTCCCATTTTTTCTTTCTCAACATGAAGTCCTTCCCGTACGTTCTGTTCTAAAGCAAAGATTCGTTTTTCAGGAAAGAAAGAAACATATTGCTATGTGTCTCTGGAACACACAGAGAGGACAATATCTTGCAATATACCTTCTATGTGCTGGCATGAGTTGTATATATTAAAAAGTTCTACTTAAAATAAACACGGAAAGTTACTTAGGATTCAAGTGTCTTTTTATGCCCTGCATTAAAAGTTCAAATATGAGAAAGGATAAGATTTTGGTTATAGGATTCAGATATTTTCTCCAAAGATGTTTTAAATATAGCACACTCCCTACAGAACTGAAGGGAGGGCTAAATTCTGAAGCACATAGGGCTAAATTTTTGAATAGTAAGCAACAGTGTCCTTGAGCCTAAATTGGCTCCTACTACAGTCACAAAGCTGCAGTTGGGAGGCAACAAGGTCTGTGGAAAGAGCAGTGTCAGTCAGTATTAGCACTGGTAAATGAGGCCATGATCTGCTACTCTCTCTGTATCCATCCCTCACATACAGAAGGAAAACAAGTCCAGAATTTACCAGCCCAAACCATTTTTACTTATGTTCCAATAAAGAGAAGTCGTCCCTCAAACTGAACTAGTCATATTGTCCACAAGAATTAACTATTGACAAACAGCCAGTTGCTATGTTTAATTTCAACCAAGACTTCCTGATGCTGACTCTACTGTCTGAAGCACCAGGGTGATTAAATCTATCACTCTACGTAGGTGAGCAGAGAACCTTTTTCAGATACCCAAGTGACATAAATATGTGTTTAGAACACGTAATACAAAGATAAAACAATCATATAAGTCCAGACCATGCAACCATTTTAAAAGCAGGGGTGGAATTATGCTTGTTTGCATTCTGTGTGTGCATATATACAGATGTGTATGTTCATGTACATATATGAAAGCTTTACGATATAGCAGAATGCTCTATTAGTACTCCTAAATTTCATTAGGGGTGTAAATGTGGAACTCTTACTTGCTTCATCCATCACTTTTTAACATTTTAAATATTTTGACATTTCAGTCTCCTTTTGGGAACTGATACTGTCATTGGATATTAGCTCAGTATTAGCAAATAAGAGGGCACATGTTCCTACGCCTACCCCTACTGAACCACAAATCTGCCAAGGAAACATAAAAAAAATACCTGCAGAATGTTTTGTTGTTCTTGAAAAAGGCCTGAAAATGTGTATCTATCAGGACACCATCTAAAGAAATAATGTGAGCAAGTTCATTATTCACAGAAAAGGTTGTTTTCATTTTGCATACCAAATACATTACACAAGGTTGTTTAAGTCTTGTGGATCTGCCTTGTATGCATGCCAGAGCAATTTCCATCAATCAGAGTCTGCATCACTAAAACTAAAGGCAGAGCTGAGTGGTTGATGCATGTACACTTACGATAAAACAAGAGTACCTATCTCGCATACAAATGCAAAACTAGGTGATACCTTTATTAGATCCCTGAACAAATCAAGGAAATAGCTAGCTTGTGATAATTCATTTTCTCATGGCTGTGCATCAAGATCTTATGGATAGTTCAGAAAAATTATATATTAGAGTCCTAAAGTTTCTGCGCCAGCTGTTTGCTTGATTTTTCAATAATTGTGTGCCATTAAGTCGATTCTGACTTACGGTGACCCATTCTAGGGTTTTTCCCCCCCTAGGCAGAGAATACATAGAAATGTATTCTCTTCTTCTGGATGCATCCTGGGACTGTGCAGCTTGCCTATGACTAAGGTTGACTAGGAGGAACAGTGGGGAATCGGACTCCCAACCTCTGCATCTGCAACTAGATACCTAAACTGCTGAGCTGCTTCATTTTTTTTAAAATGGGCTAATAAAGGTATCACCTACTCTTACATCTGTATTGTTTTGGAGACTTCACAGCCTTTTTCTATTATTTTTTTCTGAATTGTCTCACATATCTATCTCCCTCCAATGGAAGATGATCCTATTTTGGTCGTAACACTCTTATCAAAAAGGATGACGTGTCAGCACGCCTTCCCCAAGGGCAATCTTAGCATCTCCAGTCACAGAGACCCACTTGCTGATTTCTGTAAGACATCCTGTGGGGTAAGCCAAGGAAGAGGACCAGGTTTCTTTTTTGAAGAATTCCTATACCACCCTTCAAAGCTTACATTTTATGCATCCAGAGCCAAGGAGAAACCCATGGGCTTTCCATGTACTCCATGCTGGCTTTATATATTTTAATCATTTTAACATTTAATGCTTCTCAATTAAAGTGATTTCATGGCGTAGATGCCAAGCTTAGTTGGAATACACATTAACCATTTTCAGTATCAGTAGTTAGAGGCACCAGAGGATTTAAACAGCAATCCAAAGAGATGCTGGGGAAAAGGTTTGGCTGAATAAAGCAGATTATAAACAATAATATATGCCTTCTCGTTTTTTGTTTGTTTGTATGGGTTTTTTTTTTTGGAGGGGCTCCAACCTTGCTAACAGTCCTAAAGTGCTATAAACATATCCAGGCTGTAGCTCTGTAAATGCATTTTGTGAAAGCTGTGGGTGTGGGCACTGTTGCCTGCCACTTAGCAACTCGGCACACATGAAGCATGTGTTATTCTGAGAGAGCTTTTTAGTATACAAGATGTCCATCAGAGAGAACCTCCCTTCAAAATATTAAAATGCCAGAAAAGAGTAACCTTCAGCACAAAAGAATAAATAAATCTTGGCTTCCGGGCAAGGTGGCCGCTTCATGCCAAGGAAACACAGAAAGGTGACCGCTCTGTTCTTTAACTTTTGCCAATCTCTTCAAAGCACAAATCCAATCAGACTGGTGCCTGATTTTAAGAATATAGTACATACACACAGTTACACATACGCATGGGGGGGGGGGGAGAGAGAAGCTGCTAGCCATGCAGCAACAATCATAACGTATTAATGCCCTCCTCAAATTACTATCTACCAAAATGCAACCAAACACCATGTCTTAGCAGTATCATGATTGTAGGAAACATATTTTCATGTACATGGGATGATAAATAGCCCAAACTGTTTGTTTGTTTGTGTGTGTATGAGGAAATGAACAGGAAATCTGATTCCCTCATTTCAGAGGTTGCCTGCCTTATATGCTCACTGCAATGCAGATATTTTTTAGTCAATCCTAATGTTCTCGAAAAGGAGAGACAAATGTGCAAATGAACAGATCATTCAAGAATGTGTGAGGGGCAGCAGGAAATCCCTGGCAACCCACACCAAAAATTGGCTTACTTGATTATATCTGACCAGGAAGTAACATATAAAGATGGCAAGGAATCTGGTGAGGAGACACAAAGACAGTACAGCTTCCTCACCACAGAACTACCATGAAGGCCAAAGGAAGAATTAACTCAGATGTCTACTACTGCATGCCTCTCATCTTGTCTAACAGCAGCATTTGCCATATTTCAGGCCATGAAAATAACTTCTGGTGGCACCCATACCTGCAGTTAAATGTCCAGTTAGTATTTTCAGTGCAGACATTCAAGTAATGAGGAGTATAAATGATGTGTGTAACTGGAAAAATCTTCAAACTAATGACAATCCAAAGCATTATAAATGCTAAGCTGCAGTCAATAATACTTTTCCCTACCATTTGCTGGATTCTTAGCCATTTGTGTTCCTTTTCTTCCTTCCTCTGAAAGACACTTTATTCTCTAAAAGATTTTTAACAGCTTAGTTTCAGAAAAAGAAGTGGTCAACTAGTGAAACCTTCCAAAGTAGTATTTCACAGTGTTCAACACAAAATCACGGTGCTGTTCATACAGCTAGTTCAATTCCACACTATTCAAGGGAAAGGAATGATTCAGAAACAACTTTGATATCTTTTATCGTGCAGTACTTTATATTTTATATAGACAGAGGGATGCACACAATAGAGGCGCCAGCTAATACAGTAACAGCTCAGCCTTCCTGTTTTCCCATTTTATCTGCAGAAGTCAGGCAAAACCCCTCTATTTTGTTACCGTACAGCAGTGGTTCTCAGCTTTGAGTAACCCTGGTGTTCTTGGACTGCAATTCCCAGAAACCTCAGCCAGAATAGCTGTTGGTAAAAGCTTCTGAGAGTTGTAGTCCAAGAACACCCGGGTTGCCCAAGACTGGGAACCACTGTCTTAGAGAAAGCAACTGCTTCCCTTTTGTACTTCAGGGAAGTAACAATATTGACAAAGCACTTGCTTTCAGTAGTATTGTTTGCTAGATAAAGCTTTGAAAAGTGGGTCCTTCCCATATTCCTGCCCAAAATTTTTCTTCTTAGTCAGCTATATTTTGCAAAAGAGCAACCCAATACTATGCGTGTTCACTTGGGAAAAAACATACAGGATCAGAACACGGGCTGCTCCTTTATGTCATGGCCAGAGCCATGGTAAAGCTTCACTGGCAAAATGAGTTTCATGCAGTAGCAAGGTCGACATGAAACGTGTCGTACTAAACTCAGCACAATCCACAAACCATATTTTATGGGCCACTAGAAGCTCTGTAAATCCATTCAGGTTCATCTTGGGGCATCAAAATGGGGCTGTCAAGCACATCGCAAGTTACAACTGATGGATGGGGTTGTGTTCCACCTTGTAGGTCACAGCAGGACTGAGCCGAGAAGTGTGTACTCCACTGCATTATTTTCTGGTCCCAGAAATATATATTCACAATAAACCCTGTCACAGAAGTGGTTCCATATCACACAGGCAGTAAGATGAGTTACTGCCATCTTTGTTCCTTTTGGAATCCTTCAGCTGGGATATCTGTACTTCCTTGGTCTTCGGTTAAGTTTTGCCAGCGGTGTGCTTCTGCAGCATGGCAGTGATTACTCTACAGTCTGTCACCTCCTCAGGCAAGTACCCTTCTGTGTCTCGAAGAGTAGAGTCAGCTCCGAATTTCAATAACAGTTCCACAATATCAGAAAATTCACAAGTAGAGGCTAGAGGGGAAAACGGCAGAATGAACATAGGTTACAATCAAGTGCTTGCATAGTGTCGAATGATTAAAATGTTTCACAGATACAGGAGCAGTTGGTTTGAAAACCAAACAGGACAAGAGAGATAAGAGAGAATTCTATTCAAGATGGATATTCCATCATCAACATGCTGAGAACCATCATTTCCATTTCTTTCAATGTATTGCAACTCAGAACTCTGCCATGACTGAATAAAAACTGGTTAATTGGATCTTGATTTATTACTAGAAGGGAAAATAATCAAAAGTCTACCTCTTGGAACAAGAGAAAAGCCAACTAGCAGAGACCAGTTTTGGAAAACACCTTTGCACCGGGGCAATTAACTATAGGTGCTACTGTAAAATTACTTCAGACATGCCCAGGAAAGCAGAATGAGCTGAAAGGAAACAGCAGGCGGATGGAATTGCAAGGTATTAAATTTAAATCATAACCTTTCAGGCAAAACACGAGACCTGTAACCTTGACTTTGGCATTTTCTGATGGAATTATTTTACCAGACGATTAACACTTTTTTTTAAAGGTTCACTCTTAGACAAATTGCGAGGAAGACATTTCAGGATGTGAAAATATTTCTAAAGAGAGGAAGAATGTGCTATCCTTCATCAGTTGTCATCCATATCTATGTTAAATTAAAACAGCAGCAGATGTGAAGCAAAACCTCTGAATCATTGCTGCTGTTACCACTATCTTACTGAAGCGACCTCAAGGAAAGTGACTCAAAAAACTAACACAACTGGAACAGCACCAAACCACCCTCCACTCCATGGATGCGGATCCCCTGGACGACAACTGAAATCGAGTAAAGATTTTTGCACATATCTTAAACTCTGACCACTTCTGGTCAAAAACAGTATGGTTGTCTTGATATTTAAATTGGGTTTTGATTTTGTCTGTATTTCACATGCATCCATGATTTTGAATTGTGCCACACTCTGATACAAATAAAGAAAGAAGCAGGCAATCTTAACCTACAGAATAGCTTTTTTTTGGTCTTTATGAGTGATCTAGTCACTCATAAAGATTTATTAAACTGCCCTGATTTTAGAACTTTAAGGAACATAATATCTGCCATTAGCAGTGTTAAACAGGTCAATATGATGCACCTAATAATCTTCCATCATATAATTAAGTTCCCTTAATTTACAGAGGATATGAGACAAATGAAGCAGAAGGAAATCACTTGCACCAAAGTCTCCTAATTGCAGGTTAGATAATCTAGATTGCAATAGAAGAGTTTTGAAGAAATCTCTGGTTTTGAATGTCATTGTTCCTGTAAAGCAGCAGCCTACAATTCTACTTGAGCTGATGAATGGGCTGATCAACCCTGGAGGAACATGGCGTTCATCATCACCAATCACATTCTCACATATTAATACAAAAATGAATTTAGAAATCCTATTATTTGTCAGCATTTATCTTTTGTTGGAGACTGATGGTAGGTGAACAGATTTGAAAATCAGTGAAGAAAACAGTAATAATAATAGGAATAAGGCACAATAGAATGGAAAGTACCGTATTTTCGCTCCATAATACGCACCTCTCCATAATACGCACCAAATTTTTAGGAGAAGAAAACAGGAAAAAATAATTTGTTTTCTTCTCCTAAAAATTGGTGAGCCTTATGGAGAGGTCCATCTTATGGAACACACCCTAGGACCCTTTGGAGGCTCACCCTGCCCCCCGGGGGTCAGAGGGGGCGAAATCATCACCTTTTGGGACTCTTCTGAAGCTTCCCAAGCCTCAAAAGAGTCCCAGAAGGTGGCGATTTC